GGGGGGAAGGGAGCTGGGAACTCGCCTCCTTCAAAAATTGTCGTAGGATTAGTCGACTACCAAAACGTTGTAGGAGGCCCATAGGGCACAATCTAGAGCAAGTGTCAACTTTAGTTTCGTAAAATTTGATTTGTAATTATCGTGGATGCTCATACGAACCATGTAAACCTTTTGAGTCTGGTTTCAAACTAATAATGAAATTACTTGCCTTGTTGAATAAAAAAAAAAAAAAAGGTTTCAACGGTAAAGGGAGTATTAAGAAACAGCAATTGCCCCTATAAGCAGCTAACCAACGTTACCAAACACACAAATGCTGTCTCACAAGCCAGAAATGGCAACAGACAAAAGGAATTAGGGAGTCTTTAAAACTCATCTAATTACATTCTTGCCACATTAGCTAATAGCTAATATAAAAGAAAGTTCAGACTTGGGTCATGAAACTCATCCTGAACAAGACACATGACTTCCTTCTTGCAATAACGTACAGCTAATTAATCCGAAACTTTAATCAATGTTGGAGTACTGCAAGTAAATTGTGAACTTGGGTTCTTCATACCAATTAACTCTCTAGCAAGATGGCATAGATCACCAATATTAACTAGTTGCCTATTTTCATTACGTTCAGAGACTTACATGTACGTTTGTTGCCATTTTCTATATATACATCTATAGATATTTTTGTTGCTGTAAATCCATTAAAAAATGCTATTCATGTGAATAGTATTTTCCGTGAATTAAATTGCGATCCACCGTGCTAGCAACATTCCCAATCTGTAAAACGGATTACGTGCGCACATAAATACAACATAACATATAGAATCAAAACTTGACATACATGCTACATGTACAAAGCTGTAACATCAAAACTAGACTAGATCATTAAACACGCTAAACTCCAATTTAATTATTAGTACCCAGATCGAATGCAACTAAAGGCATGATTGAAAGAATACAAATATATCCATGTACAACGCACCAAAGGCAATGCAAGTCCACAGTACTCCCTAGATACTCTCATGGAACAGGGTTGAGCCACGTGGCTCAGGTTTTTCTCTGCATGGTTCTTCCCTTCACTACTTACTTCAAAATATTTTTGTTACATTCTGCTTACTGATCTATGTATTTTCTCTTATCTGTGTTGTTTCTTTCTGTTATATAATATTAGATTTTCGTGTAATTAATTTTACTTTCACAATAAATTTTATAATTTCTTTCTTTTTTTTTTTTCAAATTATATTAAGACTAAATTCAGTCATTATATATAGTTCGTGTTTCCTTGCACTTTTTCAAATGATTTATTATTGAACCTGCAACTTTTTCTTGCTTATCACCATACGTAAAATGCCTCTTCTTTTTTCTGCCACAACAACGCGATGTCGACAGTCTACTGGCGAAGAATCTAAAAAAGAAACAAAAAAAATTTGCCGAGCTAGGCAGCTGAGTAGTCACAGACTCACAGCAGCTGGGCAGTCTCAGTCTGCATAGAAATTTGTCTTCTGAATGCGCGTTTGACCATAAAGCCAGTCAAACAGAACTTATACAGCCACATTGGGTCAAGTGCATCCGTAGATGATCGTTCATGATTCGCATTACGGTTCGAATCGTATCAACGACACTTGCTTAATTTGTAAAATTCCCTTCTCTAAAATTCTCCTGTGTTTGAAAATAAAAGGTTGGTCTCGGTCACGACCCTAAAATTTCATTTTGGCAAAGATTTTTGAAATGCTTGTAGAAAATCCAACTAAAGAATGCTAACAGCTTTATGTCTCGGAAGCCAAGCAAAATGGTTGTCTCGTGATAAAAAATGCACTTGTTTCCAAGCAACTGAATGGTCCACAGAGGGGAACAACTACGTACTATAGATGCAATTAAGGCCGTTCGTTGTGTCCCGATCAATTAAAACATTCTTTTTATGGAACATAAAATACGATATCCAATTCTTCAAATTTCGATTAGACCTTTGGTGAAGATGCTTAATTGCAAGCTGCTCCTCGTGCTAAGGAGCTAGAGCTCCCTCAAACATTGGCCTCAGGCCCTAAGCTTAATTCCAGTTTTGTTTTTCATCTTTTTAAGACGTTTTCCATTTTTGTTTAATTGTGTTTTTTAGTGATGGTTAGAGCACCTTTAGTCACCATGCGTATAATTTTAAAATAATTTTTTTCAAATGATTTGAAAGGCTTAATTTTTGTATGTAATTAAGTATAATATGTAAAATTTAAATATTAAATTTAATGTTTAAAATAATAGTTATTTATTAGTGAATCAATACCAAAACCATGTTATTCTATTGTTGAACATGAACATATGTCCTACCATGGCCACAAAATATAAAAATTAAGAGGTCTAAGCCAAGATTTTAGAGGAAAATAAGTTAAAAGCCCTACCATAAATCTTTTTATAAGATGACAAGAAAACTCACGCCCAAGGTTAAAAGAGAAATGGCAGTCTAATGCTGGGCTTGCCTATATGCTGAATCTTATTTTCGAGTAATTGTTGAGGATCAGTAAAAAGTTCTTTAATGGAGAGGCATTAAGAAAATAAATTTGTTAATAAAGAAAATCAAGTCAAATTTAATTCCTCAATTACTCAACAAATCTTTTTTTAATGAATTGGAAGAAGGAATAAATAATTAAAATTTAAAACAAAAATGTGTATTAGTTAATTCTTAGTTATGGAATCAAGGATTTGAGATGAGGGGGCTAATTTTATCGATATGTAAATCAAATTTGTACTCAACACTAAATTTTTTTGCCAAAAATATTAAAGATTAAACTGTCATTTTTATAGTTAATAAATTACTCTTAAAGAGTTATTAATTGTTATATTAATATTTTATTTAAATTTAATGAAAAATTTACAAAAAAGTAATAATAATTGTTTTCATAAATATTAAGTATAATTAAGTGAATAAAATAAAATTTAAAGATAAAATTCTTAAAATATAAAACTTGAGGACTAAATTAAAAATTTTTCAAAAGACTATAGGAAGGCCATAGCCCCTCCTGGTCGCAACGGCTCCGCCACTGTGATTTCCTCTCCTTCCAAGAAGACAAATCCTATGAATAGCTAAACTTCAGAAAAATGGTCTTGTGAATCCGGATTTCTACTAATTATTTTCAAGCTCCAAAGGACTGACACTCTATGATGATCAGCCATAATATACAATGAGATTTTTTTTTTTTTAATAAGTTCTAACTGCACAATAAAAATAATAAAATATTCATAATAAATTAAGAATAGAAAAAAAATATTACAGATGCTTAAGTATTTTCACTTAGACTTCACTTCACTTATGTAGTGCAGATTAAAAAGCAATTTCTGTATACAATTACAAGTAGTACATATAATAATATGAAAGTAATCAAGAATTATGATTTAGTTGATAAAGAAATTTATTCTTTATTTTATTAATTAAGATTTGATATTTTAAATAGGCAAATTAAAAGTTGAGTACTTATAAATTCTTAACTCATTAAGACTTCCTTTTATTGAAATGAAGAGGAATTGGTTTTGAGATGGAGCGAGCTAACTTTACACATGACTGTTGATGATAAAAAAAAAAAGATTGATGTTTTCTAATAATGACTCAGAAAAAAAAAAAAAGAGTTCAATTCTGATGCTAAATTTCCTAAAACACTATTAATGAATAAATATATTTAAAGAATTGTGATTTAGTTAATGAAAAAATTTATTTTTTATTTTATTGAATAAAATTTAAGTTCTTAAAAGGCTAATAATCCCGATGTAGATGATTTTTTTTAAAATTAAATTAAAAAATAATTAATTTTGAATTAGATATAGATTAATTTAAAAACATTTTTACTATTAAAAAGTAAAAAAAAATATAGAAGAGTGTTATATTAAAGATATTCGGGGTAATTTTCCGTTCTTACTTAAAAATTTAATAAAATAAAATTCATAGTGGTACTGTAATATTCATAAGAATAATAATAAAAAAAAAGCCTTTTAAAAAAAAATATATATATATATTTTAAAAAAAAGGAGAATTATAAATAGGCGTTTGCCTAGCGCTTCTCAAATTCCCACAATTACATTGGAGCAGCTTCTGCTTCAGCTATTTTTCTTTACCACTGGTTCAGAGATGGCGAACCAGCTCAAATACTCCTGCAATTCTGCAACAGAAACCCTAGAATGGATCAAAGCGATTGCCGATTTTATCAGGCCTTACTCTTTCTTGATCAACGCTCACGTTGTCAATTTCTTCAAGGTTGGAGTTCAGTTGCTGTTGTTGTCTACATCTTCCTTTCATTTTCCTCTTGTTTCTCGGTGAACAAACGGAATTACTCGATACTTCTTTTTCCTTTTCAGGATAGGCTATGGGAGGCTGTTGATAAGGAATGGATTGAGTGCCTGCGCAAGGAACCTGTCGAAAATCTTCTCCTAATTCCCTCTGGCACCGTGCAGGTACGCGAAGCACTTCCGGTTGCAATTTTTCCAGGAATAATTTCGTATCAATCAAACTTATGCAATTTGTTTTCCTCCAGCTTGATTGTTGCATCATAAATCTTTTTGATTGTAGGATCACTGGCCTCCTTCGCTCAAGGAATTTATTCTCACTCTGAGGTCTCTTGAGTTTCCACGAGAATCAGCGGATTTAAAGACGGTATGATGTTCTGCTTGTGTAGTTTTATTATTTTCTCTCCTCTGTTCTTCTTGGCCGGAGCTATTTTCTCCGTGTTAACACTGCTAAGAAACTACTATGCTACTTTATAGGTTTTCAACAATGATTGTGTATATAAATATGATCACGTTTTCCTGTTAACTGATACTCCACGAAGTGGTTATTTATTTTATTATGTATATGGTACTGGCAGAGCAGCTGTGAGCTGCCAACAGTGGTTCCATCTGAGTCACTGAAAAACAAGTTGATTTTTATCAAATCATTTTAAAGAATTCGAACAATGTAAGTGTATATGATTGCTTTTCCCTGTTTATCGATACTCCAGGAAACAGTTATTTGTTTTATTATGTAGTACATGGTACTGGCAGAGCAGCTGTGAGCTGCCAACAGTGGCTCCATCTGAGTCATTGAAAAACAAGTTGATTTTTATCAAATCATGGTTAAGAGTTTTAACAATGTAAGTGTATATGATCACGTTTTCCTGTTTATTGATACCCCAGGAAGACATTATTTGTTTTATTATGTATATAGAATTGGCAAAGCAGCTTTGAGCTGCCAATTGTGGCTCCATCTGAGCCATTATATGTGTCATGCAAAACAAGTTGATTTTTATCAAATCATGGGTAAGAATTGGCATGGCAGAAAAATCCGTTGGAACCTCCTCTATGTTCCTGTCATAATATGTCATCTGCAAAATCAGGGTAACTACTTCTGTTTTTAACCTCAGATTGTTCATGCCTTGGTTTTCTTACTCTCTTTCTCCATCTCCCTTTTGATTTGTTTTCTGAGTTATTTTCCCTTACTAATGTTAGGTAGGAAAGACAAGAGAGAGGAGTATCTCTTTTCTAGAAAAAGGACTTTCATCATCTTACCCTCAGTCAGCTAGGTCTCTGTTTAGGTTCAGTTCCATTTCCACTGAGTTCTGCTAAACTGATGTTTGGGTCCAGAGATTCTCCAGGCACAGAAGATCTTTATCTGAATAAAGTTGTATCTGTCTGGCACTTAGCATACTGTGTTCTTTTCTCTTATAATTTTATTTTTGTCTGACCCAGTGTTCATTTCCAGTCTTCCCTTCATTAATTGGGATTAGAAGGTGGATGAACAAGACACTCAATAATCTAGTCTTTTGGTTTTCTGCAGGTAATACCTGACTTGCACATGAAATCACTGAATACTGTTCTTTCTCAAGGCATGAATCAAAAGAAAAAACATGAGGTGGTCATTATTTGCGAATTAATTGCTTTAATTAGCATGTGTATTCTTTTCATCTCTCTTATAATTTTGGTTTCTCTGTATTGGTACTGGTACATGCCATAGACAATGATATATGTTTGTCCAAGGTTGTTGGATGCTAAACAGAGGATCTCTAACCTTAGTCTATTAAAGTGGTAAACAGGTAGAAATTCTTTCTGCAGTTGTTAGTTCAGTTGCAAATACCGTGGGAGCTGCTACAATAGTTGATGTTGGTGCTGGTCAGGTTTGCCCTGCTATCTGTTTTATTCCCTTTCTCTGTCTCTCTAATAATTCTTGTTGATGGTGCTGAATATAGGGCTGAAAATGCTTGTGTGACTTCTAAATAAATAAATTTGCTTCCTGCAACCTGCAACCTGAAACAGAAAACAAATAGTATACTTTGCATTAACAGTGAAATATTTAGGCTGTGGAATTGAGTACTAGAGCTAAATTCTAAGATAGGAAATCAAGTACTTCTATTAGTTTAGCGAGTGAATGATGTCACAAGCCAGCTTGGCATTAGCAGGTGTCGCTAGTAACATCAATAGCAATTTTAAATTCCTTGGATCGATAGCAAGTTATTCAACATCAACTGTGGAACTAAAAAAATTTTGTTTGAAATGAATTTATATTCATCTTTAGGGACATTATCTTGCACATTGAGAAAACACTCATGTTCTTTATTATCATCACAGTCAAACATTAGCATAAACAAACTTACAAATATAAGGAGAATATTTCGATTGATCCTGAGTGCCAATGCCACAATAATGGAGTGGCTGTCTTAATAGACTCAATTAGAAGAATGGATTTCCCTAACCCGCATTAATGTGTTGGAGATACAATCTTGAGCAGGAAAATGTTGGTATTCTGTGCTAATACATTTAATTAAAGGAGCAAACAACTGAATGATGGATAATTTATGTTCTTATTGATTTTTCAAAGCATTTAAAGAGAACAGCTGAATGGTGGGATATTTGCAACTCCAGACCACAAAACTGACCTTTTCTAAGAGGCCATCAGTTTCTTTAATAATTTCTTTCATTAAAATGGAAACCTCAATATAAATTTGAGTCAATATCAACTGGAGAAAGCTTGGTCAGTTAAAAAGCCTAAATATATGTGTTTCTTCAAACTGCATAAGATCCCTTCTGTATTTCTTATAATGGTGAAAGAATTCCCAAGAGTTTCTTAGTATAGTTTATTAAGTTTTCTAGGGATTTAATGTTGATAAACAATTAGTTAATAACCTTCAAAGATAAAATGAATTGATTTTAAATGAAATTCAAGTACCTGATAACAAATTCTTAGGGCTGAGTAATGGCATAATTACTAGGAATTGAAGATTTATATTGGTACCTAAAGGCCAATATCTGGTTGTTGTGGGCTCCATTACTAGTTATTTTCACCTTAATGATAGGATAGCAATTCCGTCAATCTCCACTTAATGGGATTTATGGTAGTAGATGATTGTACATTATTGAAATAGGACTTAAAATAAAGAGCCTTAATGGCATTTACCCCCTTTTTTTAAAGGAATTTCACTAATTTTTTTCATCTCCCAATTTTTGAGGGTCATTTCTCTCAAATGAGATCTTTTTTGTTTTTTAGATCTTGAATTATTTCAATGATATTTATCTTCTTTCTTTTTTTACATTTTGTTTGAAATTGTCTGACTTTCAAGATGAATCAAAAGAATTGGCTTTTATAAGATTTTGTGTTACAGTCAACCCTTTCTGTTTCTACTTTCCCTGCTGCAAACAAATTCTAAGGTGATCCACAAAATTGTGACATTTTTTACAAAAAACTGTATACCATTTATTGATTCTATTTATAGCTTGTGTATTCATTTTATTATTTTTTATTGTAATTTAGTGTATGATAACATGCTAACAATCATTGAAATTCACTCCTTCCCTCTCCGGATCTATGTATGCAATATTTTTTCTCACTTCTATTTTTATTAACTCTTTTCTTTTGACCTGTTCCTTTACACTTATGCCTGTTCAACTAAATTTCTGTATAGAAGAACACCAGTGCAGAAAGAATTTGCTTTTTTTTTTTTAATTGAATGTTGAAGTCTTGAAGATTTAATGCTTTCATTCTTTTATGATAGCATTTTTAACCATTTTTTTTATTTATATCATTCCTCATTAGTATGCCAGGGAAATGTCTGCTTTTTCTTGAAACTGTAGTTCTGGTGTTTTAGCATCAGTCAGACACAAGAAACCCTTCTAATTTGCTTTAAGACTTTTACTCTGTTCCTTGATCATTGATTAAAATGGTTTTGTAGGGTTATCTTGCACAAGTTCTATCCTTTCAATACTTGCATTCTGTAATTGCAATTGATGCCTGTTCTCATCATGGAAAAGTTACAGATGCACGGGCAGAACGGATAAAGAAGCATTATGAATCTCAGATGCGAAATTTGGGTATGGAATATAGGAAACTTTTTACTTACCTGTATCACCGAATTGTATTACTGAATTGGTGCTTGCCTCTCAATCTGAGTGGTTTTCCTGTTGCAAAGGAGGGCTGGGTTTTGTTGAGTAGTTTGACTATCATTTTAGAAATATAATCATATATGAGTAGTTTGACTATCACCTATGCCCCCTGTGGGAAATATGCTAAATTTAATTTTACATTTTTTATCCACTTTACTGCTTGGTTCTTCCGGGGTTGAAGCTGCAGTGCAAATGTTGTTCTATTTTTGGAGAACAAAGTTTGAATAATCCTGCTCATTATGTCTTTGACTGTGGTTGAAAATTTATTCTCAAAATTCTACTTTGATTACAATGAGTTTTTTTTTTTTTTTTTCAAAGGATGTAATTCTTTTAATAATAATGTTTTATGGTTGGTACAAACAAGTATTTAGAAAAATGTTGTTGTTCATGATGAATTATGATAAAAGAGAAGAGTGCAGTTTCTCACTTTGTCTCAGGTGGCAGTTGTGTGATATAATTTTTTCTCCCAAGGATATATTATCATATGTATGTTTGACTACTATTGGTGGATATAATGTCAATGTGTGTGAAACTTTATGATCTTTTATTATCTTCAATGAGCCTTTCTTATTGACTATGAAACTTGAAGTTGGTATAACTACACTTGTGATTTCCATGTGCTTTATGCTTTGTCTTGAAAATACATTCTTGTTCATTTGATGATCCCTAGAACAGTACTTCTTTTGTAGCTAACCTTTAACATAGTTATTTTAGCTAAAGTTAACCTATTTGTTACCTAGATTTATTTTCCATAATCAGATCCCTTGATTTGCAAGTGGTATACTTATTAATGGACTGCAATCTTTTTCTGTTAGATCAGGAAATATGAATTCAAATGCACCTAAGACAATCACATGCCGTGTAATGTCCATGGACTCATTGAAAGCCTTGACCAATACACTTGTACCTGAAAACAATGATGAGCAGTCAAGAATGATGGCACATGATTGTGAAAAAGTTGATGAGAGACAAGTTCAATCTTTATGCCCTCCTAACATTGGAAGCTCATTGGTTCTTGCCGGACTTCATGCATGTGGAGATCTTTCAGTTACAATACTCAAGTGAGTACCATAATACACTTTAGTGTTAATTTTGGTCCTGCTATCTCTGTGTCTGCTAGTTCTAACTAAGAGAGGCCGCCACTTAATTTGGGTGTATAATCATTACAACCACCAGGTTTTTCTACTTTAGTTTGATGAATAAGCTTATGCTTTGATCAATTTTGGAAACACACCTCCAAAGTGAACGCTTCAGTGCTGGAGCAGAGTTTTGGAAGGCTTTAAGGGGCTAAATACTTGCAGCCTGTAGGTGTGTAGATTTATCATTTTTAGTTCAGTAACTTTTGTTGCTATTGTTATTATTTTCTTATTATTACAGATTATTACTTTCATAGAAATCACACATCATACCATCAGGTCCTCCTTCATTATTCCTTATAATTTCTCACCACCAATTTGAGATTTTGATAAAGCTTCATTAAAGAAATATCATATTATCATATCTGTTGTGCAACATAAAAGGATCAAGGGTTTGCAATGATAAAGAGATGTACGTGATTGATTTCCAATATTGTCTGTAACAAAGAAATATGTGAGTTAAATACAAGGAGGGTTAATCCACCTATTGCTAATTGGTTTTAATTTGGATGCAAGACTTGTATTGAAGCCCATATGCATAATTTTTATATGGTGTCAGAGCCCAGGCTCTGTTCTTGGAAAGCTTGTTGTTAGCTTACCTGAAAGGACCTAAAGTTAATACTAGGCTTGCATATTAAGCCATGTGATAAGGCTCAACACTCATAGTGAGCTTGCACATAAGGGGAATCTTGAGTGAGAAATACCCACATCAAGTATATAACAAAAAAGTATGTGGGTTAAATACAAGGAGGGCTACTCCACCTATTGCCAATTGGTTTTAAGTTGGATGCAAATCTTGTATTGAAACCCATGTGCATAATTTTCACAATTTGCCACAGGATTGGAAAATGAATCCCATAATATCTTATTTATCCTTGGCCTTTTCGAGAAAGCTAAGCTTAAATTATATGCTGTCCATGACCATTGTCATATTTTACTTATTCAAACTCCAAAATGTGTCATTTAAACGTTTTATTGTCATATTATTGGTCCAACCATATGATTAGTTTTCTCTGTCTCATACATGCCATACCACATTTTCTGTTGTTTGATATTGGCAACTCTCTATCAATTCTGCACACATGGTGTCATAAGGACCATCCCCTTTATTTTTCAGATTATAGAGTGAAATCTAAAGAGACCATTAGAGCAGTGTGAGAATTCTATCCATATCTGCAATTGTATGTTATTGCTCTCATGTTCTTTATTATAGCCATGTGGTAGCTTTTTTGTGCATCCAGTTCCACATCTAAAAGAATGCATCGTTTTTCAGAATGGATCAGGACCTTTTTAGAATCCAAGTCAAAGCAGTGGTTTTTTATAGGAGACTAATATCTAAAGATTACTAGAGCAGATTGAGAATTTTATCTTTATATGCCATGCCTGTTATTTCTCTGTTATTTATTTTATCCATCTTGTTACTAAAAATTTTGTTCATCCAGAAAATGATGAATTCTATGAATTTAATAGGGCATTCTCAGAGTGCAGAGAAGTAAAAGCAGTTGTTAGCATTGGCTGTTGTTACAACTTATTATCTGAGGGGTCTGAAAATTCTGGTGATCACTGTGGTTTTCCAATGAGTTGTGGTGTTAAGACTGTTAGCTTGCTGCTTGGTAAAAGTTCTCGTGATCTTGCTTGTCAGGTATGTCTACATATTTCTTCCTTTCCTTAAGTTTTACTCAAAGTTTTCGTGGGGATGCAATATGCATTTGAGTTCATTGGTTGGTTGAATTGTGTTCAATAATCTCCATAAATAAGGGAGCAAAAGTAAAAGAAATAAAATATTAGATAGGTATTAGAAAGTGTTGGATCAGGGAATTTTGATAACTTAAAATTGCACAAATGCAGTGTGTTAGAGAAAAATATCCCACTTTATTACTTAACAAAAAAGTGAATACCTTTTCTGACATCTTCACATTGACATATGTATCTGTGATATTTTAATATAACATAGATTACTTCTCAATTGTTTAGGTCTAATTGATAGTGATATGCCATGAGATGACGTTCTTGAAGCTGCATTCACTCAACTGGTTTTTTGTGAAATCCTGACATAGATTGTTTAGATCATAACAATGGGAATCGTTCTTATGTTCAGTAAAAAAATATTGTTCTATATCCTGGTAAAGAAAAATGATGTATTCCTCTTTTTTTCCTTTGGGGTTGGGTTGAAGGACATTAAATGCCATCATAAAGTGGATTGAATGAGCAAGATAAGCAATCTCATTTTTGGAGATGAGTTTGCCAAGTGCTTCCCTCAAAGTCCCTACCAACTAAACAACTAGCAAGCATCCATCTCATATTTTGCATGATATGCCGTAAAGAATTTTCAAAGATAAATATCTTAGGCAGAAATAACTTGCTCACATGAAATTCCTTTAATCTGCCAACACATTTACCTAAAAACTGAACAAAAGGTATACATCCACAGCAAATTTCTATGGGATTGCTGCATCAAACCATGAAATCCTTCTTTTAAGTGCTTCCATCAATGTTTGGAGCCACCTTGTCTCCTCTTCTTTGAAGAGTGTCTAGTTACTTGCATAAGTCTTCAATTTATTGGCAAGTTCTGTCTAAAGAATCTATTTTTCCAAGAAATTATTGCCAAGCAATGAAATATTTAATTTAAACTTTCTGTTGGGAAGGCTGTTTGCTGATATATATATATATATAGTTATTTTGTTGTCAGTAATATTATTAATTTTGCTTATTTTTATTTTTGCCTCCTTGCTTTATTTTTGTTAGAGTGCAGATAGATGGAGAAACCTGTCAAAAGATGCTGGTCTCCATAATTTCGAGCTGCATGCCTTCCGTGCTGCTTTTGAAATGGTACATGATAACTCTCCATTTTGTTTAATTAGCTTATATAATTTCTAATCAGTTTTTCAAGTTTTAGAGTTTCAATCTTGTTCTTCTTCTTTTCTCTATTTCATTTAGCAAGGGTAAATTGTACCAGTATGTGTTCTAATAAATCATGCTGCTGATAGTTTTTCAATATGGAATTTAATTTCTTATCAGTTTCATTTTCATGTCACCAATCTACCAAAAACAACAGTCAGTTTTCTTTTGAAGGTACTTTCTAAACATTACCCAGAAGTCATGATAACAAGCCCTTCAATTGGGCGACAAGGGAAGGCTTTGCGACGCCAGCAGCAGAGGAGGATACTGGAGTCTCAGCTGCGTCAAAAAGAAAGTACATATTCCCATTCTAATGTGGTAGAACATTACTCTGTTGTAGGGCATGGAGAATCTGGAACAAGTAAGTAATGACGTGATGTCATGTTATGTTTTCCAGGCCTGTAGGAGTGCTTTCAGCTTGAGTTCTTTGTAACTGCAGTTCTTTGGCCTTGCTTTCTTCATGTATAGCACAAAAAGAGAATAAAGTAGGACTTTTCAGATGGGGAAAATAGATGACCAATGGTGGCTCATATGTGCCTGCATAAAATTTCTTCCTAGAGAGATGTTTATAGAACATTCATTTAAAGTTCTCACGGGAGCCCAGCTGCTTTTACTTATTTTGCAGGTGACATTTCAGGCCTGGTGTCAAACATGGATAACTTATCTATCAAAAGTGAAGGGGATTTATCTGTTGATAAGTGTTCACTTTTTGAGAAGTTCAGTCTATCTGGGCTATGTCGCCTTGGTCTTCATCCTTTGGTTGACATTAATTTTCGAGGCATTTGGAAGGAAGTTGAGCCATATGCTGTATGTTATTTTCTAACTTGATTCAGTGCTGCATTTATATCTTATGTTTGCTTTATCATCATCAATAGGATAGAACTGTCAATTTCTAGAAATTAGAAAATTTAGAATATAATGTCTTTG